TATAATCTATTTTAATTAAAGCCCCCCCTCCTGCAAAAAAAAAAAAAAAAAAAAAAAAAGCTGTGGGTGCAGCTTCCAGTCTGTAGAGTTTGCAGAAAAATGAAGCAGCTTTGGTGGTAAGGTGAGCCCCGAGAGCACTCAGGCTATCTGAATTGGGGGTAGATGGGGGTTTGAGGCCGGTGGCCTCTGCCCTTCTCCCCTGCCCAGGAGGTAGGTGTTTTCCTATGGGCAAATGCAAAAGGCACACTTGTCCACATGTATCATCAGAATGAACCCCCCCCACACACACGCTTTTTTTTTTTAATGTACTGGTCCTGGAGCTTGAACTCAGGGACTGAGTGCTGTCTCTGAGTTTCTCTTGCTCAAACCTAGCCCTCTACCACTTGAGTCACAGCTCTACTTCTGGGCTTTTTGGTGCTTCATTGACAACAAAACTCTCATGGACTTTCCTGCCTGGGCTGGCTTCAAATGTCAATCCTCAGATCTCAGCCTCCTAACTAGGATTACAGGTGTAAGCCACAGTACCCAGCTACTCTTATCCGAGTATTTGACTAAGTGCTGTCCAGACTCGTCCTCCTGTAGCATGCTAACCAATCAGAAGGCAGCTTCTCCTCACCATCATGTCAGGAGCTGGCCTGGTATAGGCCAAACAGCCTGGGCTAGACTCAGAGTGGCTTTGGGGACACTGGCTGTTCCCACCCTTCCCTTCCCTTGACCAGCTGACATTCTGAGATCCCACCCTTCCTGGACTGCATGGGACAAGGGCCACTGGATCGGAGGGTGACTGCTGGCACCCTAAAAATTACCAAAAGATTTAGGTAAGCCTGGCAGCAGTGGCTCATGCCTCTTACCCTAGCTACTCAGAAGGCTGAGATCTGAGGATCACAGTTTGAAGCCAGCCAGCCCAGACCCTCCCCCCCCCAAAAAAAAAATCAATGAAAATTCTTTTTTTTGGAGGGGGGGGAGGTCCAGTCATGGGGCCTGAACTTGGCCTGGGTGCTGTCTCTCAACTCTTCAGCTCAAGGCTAGCACTCTACCACTTGAGCCACAATGCCACTTCCGGCTTTTTTTCTTTTTTGTTTATGTGGTGCTGAGGAATCGAACCCAGGGCCTCATGCATGCAAGGCAAGCGCTCTACCATTGAGCCACTTTCCCAGCCCCCCAATGAGAATTCTTATATCTAATTAAACACCCAAAAAGCTGGAAGTAGAGTTGTGGCTCAAGGGGTAGAGCACCAGCCTGGAGTAGAAGTTCAGGGGCAGCCCCCAGGCTCTGAGTTCAAGCTCCAGCACACATATAGCACACACGCACACACACACAAGACATAGGTTTAGGATCATGAATATAATGTATCCTGCTTTTTGCTGGTTATATTAGAGATAGAGTCTACCAATCTTTTCTACTTAGGCTATCCTCGAACTGCAGTCCTCTAGATTTCAGTCTCAGTAGCTAGGATCATAGGCATTAGCTACCAGTACATACCTGGGAACATACGCATTTAGTCGGGGGAAAATGTGACATTAAATCTGCACATTAAACTGTTACCTCTCATAAGTGAAAGCAGAAATTTTATTTTTTATTTCATATGTCTATGATTGCATTTTTTTAAATGAGGAGCAAATGTTTTCCATGAGAAGTAACAACATGCAGATTTTATTGTTGTTGTTTGTCATGAGGCTTGAACTTGGTGCTTGGGTGTTGTCCCTGAGCTCTTTTGTTCAAGGCTAGAGATCTACCACTTTGAGCCACAGCTTCATTTCTGGCTTTTTCTGAGTAGTATACTGGATATGAGTCTTGCAGGGACTTTTCTGCCTGGGCTGGCTTTGAACTGTGATCCTCAGATCTCAGCCTCCTGAGATTACAGCTGTGAGCCACTGGTGCATGGCTAACAAAAAGATTTATAGCTGAGTGTGGTGGCACATACCTATAGTCCAAACTCCTGAGAAGGCTGAAGCAGAATGGTTGCTTCAGTCTTAAAGCTTTAGGCCAGATTGGGCCACATAACAATAACAGCAATAACAATAATAATAATAATAGAGAGAAAAAATAAAAATAAAAGTCAGGCATGGTGGTATATCCCTGTAATCCCAGCTACTTGGAAGGTTGAATAAAATGGGAGAATGCAGAGTTGGAGGCCAGACCTGGCAATGAATGAGACCACATGTCAAAACCAAACACAACAGGACTGGGGGCCTAGCTCCAGAAATAGCCTGCTCACCTGGCATGTTCAATCCCCAGCATTGGAGGAGGGGGAGGGAAGATGAGAAGGGAGAGGGAGGGAAGGAAAGATTGAGATTTGTAAAATGACAAAACTATACTTTAAGCAAATGGAGTGTATTATTGTGAGTGGCCACTAGGGGGCAGAAGAGGCATGTGGGGGGAGTGTGCATGGTTTGTGGCTGGCTATTTACTTCTCTTGCACAATTTCCCTGCTCGCGGGCAGGGCCATCTGCGTGGTTTACAGACTTGTTTGTGGAAATGACAGCCCCAGGCCTCACACACTGGCAGGCCGCTGTGGCCCAGGGATCTCATTCTCCTTCATCTTTTCCTTTATTTTATTGTTGCAAAATAGGTATCACTTAATTACAACCAAGTGTACAAAAACAAAAACAAACAAAAGGAAAACCGTAAACTAAAGGTCTGTACCTATTCAACAATCACGCATCATTCCCAGAAGACTCCTGGACCCTGGTGCCTAGCACAGTACTTTCTGTCTCCATAATTTTTACTACTTGAAGTATTTATATTTGTTTATTTGTTTTGTGCCAGCTCTGGGGCTTAAACTCAAGGCCTAGGTACTGTCCCTTACCTTTTTTGCTCAAAGCTAGCATATATAATAACAAGAATAAAGTGCTACACCTCACCTTGTGCAGCCGCTAATGCTCACACACTGTGTCAGTATTTCCCCTGACCTAAATTATGGTACTCTGTATCAGGCAAGCAGACACCTCTGTATCTGGAAAGCAGGGAGATGATGTGTACCCCCATGCGCTGTTCCCAGTCACACATGCCTGTCCTGGCCCGGGTTTCCTTCTCCAAGTGTGGCAGTCCTCATGAGGTCCCTTTTTCTCAGGAAACGTGATGTACCTTCTTTCAGTGGTGTTGGACTCTGTGTCATCAATCACCTCGATGAATAAAAATCCCTCAGACACAAACAAGAGCCTCCTGGAGGTTGGAGGCCAATCTCCAAAACCACGACATGAAGCAAAGCTGTCCAGAGCGTTCCTGCCATGGGGAGGCCACCCTGCTCCTAAGGGACAGACGGGAATGGAAGGCTGTGGGGAGCATGCGCGGGATGAAGCCTGGCAGGGCCCATGGCCTTCCCTGGAGCAGCTTCCCCGGCCCACTCCCAGTGGCCGGTGCCATGGCCTCCACACCCACGGCCTGGATTTACTTAGGCCTGCAGTCATTTGCCTGGGGCCCAATGTGTCACTACAATGTGACTACAGGAGGTTGTGTGTCCAGCTTGTGACCTGTTTGGGGAACAATGGGGAATGAAGCCTGTTGGTCATTGCTGTTGTCAACCAGGCAAGTGGCACAAACTCTGGGCCTGAGGGCTGTCCCTCAGCTCTTCAGCTCAACGTGAGCACTCTATAACTTGAGCCACAGTGCCACTCTCGGTTTTCTGGTGGTTTATTGGAGATAAGAGTCTCATGGACTTTCCTGCCTGGGCTTGGCTTTGAACCGCGATCCTCAGATCTCAGCCTCCTGAGTGGCTACATTTACAGGTGTGAGCCACCAGCGCCCAGCTGTCTTTGTCACCCTGTAGAGAGAGACCCTGAGTACAGTGATGACATCAGAGGATGTCACAGAAATGACAAAGCCCCTCGCATGGTATGTTCTTTCAATGCTGAAAATATAGCCAGGTGCTGGTGATTCATGCCTACAATCCTAGTGACTCAGAAGGCTGAGATCTGAGGATCCCAGTTCAAACCCAGCCCAGGCAGGAAAGTCAGTAATGCTCATATCACATCCGATTACCCACTAAAAAAAAAAGCTGGAAGTGGAGGTCTGGCTCAAGTGGGGTATAGCATAGGCCTGGAGTGAAAAATCCGAGTGAGAGCATGAGGCGCCAAGTTCAAGCCTGGGAGACACAAAAAGCTGACAGACAAATAAAAGTCAACTAAGAGCAGCTTTTAACAAACTGAGTACCACACTAGAAAAGCACAGGGCTCCCTGGTGGCTGGGCCCAGAGCTCAGCACAGAGGCTCTGGGCCTCAGGGCACACCAGGCCCCGGGAGGGCCTGCCTGCTCGGGACTGAATGGCTGCTGAGTCCCACACGAGCCTGGAGCGCACAGGTGCCCAGGCTGGGCATGTCAGACTCGGGGGTGCATCAGGCCCTGTGGCCCACGCTTGCAAGCCCAGCTTCTCAGGAGGATTAGAGCTGAGGATCGCCATTCGAAGCCAGCCCAGGCAGGAAAGTCCATGAGACTCTCACCTCCAATAAACCACCAAAATTCTGGAAGTGGAGGTGTGGTTCAAATGGTGGAGCACTTACTTGAGGGAAAAACCTCAGGGCCAGCACCCAGGCCCTAAATTCAAGCCCCAGGGTCGGCACACACACTCACACGCACGCATGCATGCACGTGCGTGCACACACACACGACAGAGGGACGGGTCCTGGGTAGGCCATGTCAGCCCGAGCAGGGTGCGCCCCGGGCTGAGGCGCTGGGACTCCGAGCCGGCAGGGGGCGCTGCGCGCCGGGGGCTCCAGGCCGCCAGAGGGCGCTGTGGCGGCGGCGGCGCGACGCGCTTCCGGCAGGTGGCGCCGTGGCCGCGGCCCAGGCCCGGCGGGCGGCGGCGCGGCGCGGCGCTGCGACCCGGCTCGCGGGGCCGGGAGCGGCGGCGGCGGCGGCGGACGCGCGGGGAGGCGGCGGGAGCGGCGGCGCGGCGCGGCGGGAGCGGCGGCCCGGGGCGGGCTGGAGCGCGGTCGGCGAGCGCACGGGCCGCGGCCGCGCGGAGCCCGCCATGCCGGCGCGGGTCTGAGGCGAGCCACGGGGCGCGCCGGCCTGTCGCCCCGCAGCGGCCCGGCCCGGGCTCCATGAGCGGCGGCCTCGGCCTCCGGCGCAGCCCGGAAATGTCCGGCAAGGTGGAGAAAGCAGGTGAGCGGGCCGGGGGGCGGCGCGGCGGCCGGGCTGGGGCCGGGCGGCGGCTCCGGCGGGGCCTGGCGCGGCGGCCCCCCGCGCGGGGCCCTCTTGAGCCGGGCCTGGCCGGGCCCGGGGGACCCGGCGGGGCTCGCGGCGCGCGGGGCGGCCGGAGGGCGGCGGGGCCTCGGCCGCCGGGGGCCCCGCGGCGCCCCGGAGCCGCCCGGCCGCCGGCCGCGTGCCCGGCCTGGGCTCGGCGCCCCGGAGCCGATCGCCGCCCGCCGCCGGCCGAGCCGCGGCGTCACCCGACGGAGGCTCGAGTTTAAATTTAACCACAAGTGTTCGGTCGGCGGCTTCAAAGCAGCGCGGGCGGGGTGCGGCGGGGCCGCGGCGGGGCGGGCGGGCGGGCGGGCCCCGGCGCGCAGCGCAGCCCCGCCGGCCGGGCCGGGGCGGGGGGGGGTCGAGGCTGTGGCTCTGGTCGCGAGAAGCCTCGTCTCTTTGTGTTCCTAGAAATCTTGGGGAGTTGCCTCCCGGTGCCCGGGCTGGCGTCCGTGCCGGGCGTGGGGCTCCCTCCAGCGTCAGCGGCTGCGGGGACCCGTGGCCCGCGGCTCCGCCAGCCCGCTGACACCTTGCGGGGCGGGTCCCCAGGTGCGGGGCGGGGCGGGCGGGCGCGGCCGGACTGGCCCCGGCGGCGGCGGCGGCTGTCTTCTGGAGGGGGCGGGGAGGGGGCTCTGACACGGGGTCCGCACCCGGAGTGTGCGTTGCGTGTTTCCCAGGGCTGATCGCCACAGCTTCCTGCCGTGCACCTCTGCAGAATGGCCCCAGAAGCGACCCAGCGCGTGCAGTCTGCGGTTTAAACACAGGAAGGACGTTTTTGCAGCCTTTTTTTTTTGAGGGTTTGCTGCATATCCGGGTCTGTGCTTACTCTCTTAAAGCCTTGAAGATCCAGTTTTCACGAGCTCAGAGACGGTGGGTTTCTGTAGCCCACCCAGCAGAGGAGCAGCAGACGGGGCATGGCTACTTGAAGGCCCAGGGACGGGAGCCCAGGGTCCCTTTCTCACTGGTCGGGTGCTTGCTCACAGGTGCCACTTCTGGGGTGCGTTTCTCACTGTTCTGCAGCCCCGGCCCCTTGCGTGGTGACAGTGCATTGCTTTCCTGCATATCTGATGACCCAGAATTATCTTTGGGTCACCCCGTGCAGCATTTCTCAGGCACCCCTGTTCAGTGTCTAACCCCCATGGCACCCTTAGGAAACCTGGGTCATTTAAAAGTAGCAATAATGGAGGTTTTATTTCTGTTGTTGTTATGGTCAGAATATTGTGTCCGTTGTCAGTAACGTGGGAACCATGGAAACGTAAACAGTGAAGTGCTGATGACCCGTCATTGCGGGATCCGCTGTGCACAGCTCTGGATGGACGTGACACATCCTTGGTTTCTCTCCTGCCTGCCCACTTCTGCACGGGTGGTGCTGGCGCTCTGCTGGGCACTGCCTTCCCCTGGGGCAGCATCACAACTCTGAGGAGACTTTCAGGGCAGCTGGACCGCGTCATACTTGGGCCACTGGATGGTGTAGATGTGCAGGTATTGGAAGTGCAGGGAAGGTTTTGGAGCCAGCAGTGTTTGCTAGGCTTTGAAGAGGGGCTTGGGCCTAGACCCTGAGGTAGAGATGGAGGGAAAAGAGCAGAGTTGGAAGGCGCTGGATGTGGAGTTGTGGAAAGGGTAGGAGGAAGACGGACTTAGTAAGGTGTGCCAAGTGGGAGAGTTCTCACTCAGCATGGCAAGACCAGAGTTGGTGTGTCATTTGAGTGCTGGGGTCACACCTGTGGAAGTGCAGGCATTGGAGGCTGGATGTCGGGGCACACCTACCATGCCAGCGAGGCAGAAGTAGGATGACCGCTGCTCCCAGCCGTGAACCGGAGGCCCTCGCTGGAAAGTGCATTAAGGCAGCAGGGCTGGCTGGGGCCATGGCTCAGGCCCTGAGTTCAAGCGTCACTTACAAGTCTTTTCTGTTGTGCTCTGGCACACTAGAGTTGAGGAGTGGGACAAAGCAAGAGGGGAGTTGCTTCCACGTCCTGGGGATTCTGCTGGAGTTTTCTGAGCTGCCCCACTTTTGACCTGATGAGAGGCCTCGCTGTGAATAACAGAGCGTCACCCAGTGCAGTTGGGGTTTTGCTGTTTCCTGAGATTTGAAACCACATAAGTGTTGCTAGAAGGTATTCCTAGTCTTGCTCCTCAGAAAAGGAAGGGTCTACTGTTTTTACCTCTCCAGGATTAGGAAATGCAGGGTTTTTGAGTGAGCTGGAAAGCTCCTAGTCCCCCCAAACCCTATGGCTGTCCACTCATGGACTTGCCTTCAGTCCCTGGCCCAGCCCTCCCTGCCAGCAGGGAGAGATCTTCAGCAGATCTTCTTGGGCCAGCTTCACTTGCTCACCCAGCAGCAGCAGCTCCTGGCACAGTCATCTGAACTTCCTTAGAGGCCACGCCTCCCCACGAGGACACTGGGAGGCCAGCCTCCCAGCTGTCCCAGGGAGAGCAGGACAGTGTGAGGTCAGGTCTGCTGGCCTGCTGGGCGCCTGGCTAGATTTAGTTCGGAGCCCCCGAGTATACCCATGGTGTGCCTCCGCCAGGCACTGAGAACATTCTTCCTCAGATCCCAGGGCCTGTTCTGAAAATCCCCCTGGAAGGAAGGCCAAGACTCAGGGTCCCAGAGGCTACTTTGGGGCACACTTGAGCATGGTTGTGCAAGCTGGTGTACACGTCTGTAACCTTGTGTTTCTTCCAGCAAAGACACCCAGTGAGGAGAGTCAGTACCTGACATTTCCGGAGATAAGGCCGAACTGACAGCTGTGGACTGGCTTCTGTCCTTTCCATCCACATGGGTTTCTTAAGGAAGCAAAGAGAGTTACTGGTCAATATTTAAACATCAGGAAATTGCTCAAAAATCTCAGGTTCCTGCTTCTGTCTGGTAACCCTGAGTCCACAAGGTAGCCGCGAGGGGAAACCGGGCAACCGCCCCCTCCCTGGCCAGCCACGTTGCCCACGCCCCTGAGCACATGGACTGCAGAGGTTTGGATGTGTGTCCTTGCCCTTGGAGAAATGATTCGTGGGTGTTTGCTTTGGGTCTTGGCCCGTTTCCTTCATTGATTGGTCCCATCACCCCCTCAAACAGCTCTGAACCTACACACCTGCTCTGCCAGGCTCTGTATGCTGAGGAGAGGGGAGCGCGGTGGCCACCAGGTCACCTACCATCATGGTGGCATCCGTGTGTGCCTTGTGTGGAGTGTGGGGAAGGTCACGGGACTGACCTGGGATAGAGGCCATGACCTCTTGCTATGACACATAGAGGAGCCGGGGGGAGATGTGCACGTGGGCCGTGAGGAGGGCCGAGGCTGCTGGCGGCAGACTTGCAGGTGGCCGCATGAGAGGAGAGGGCGCTTCCGCTTTCCTCCGCTGCCCTGCCCACCTGCCACCCGCCTGCCGCCACTTACCCACACCAAATGCCCTCCATATCCTGAGCGCTCCTCCTTGGGAGAAAGAAAGGGACCCTGCCTTCCGTGAAAAATAGCAGTTGTGTTTTGGCTGTTGTTTAATCCCTGTCCTCCCTCCCTGTGCTCCCAGAAAATCAGTCTGTCTAGAAGCCTCACCACTTACCAAACTGGCCAGTGTTAGCCCCCTGCGACCTTGGCAAGGTTTACCAGCCGTGAAGTGGCCCTGGGCTCACCTGGCACGAGGTCTGCAGACCAGAGAATGTGGGCCCTCAAGCACATTCTTAAGTGTGCTCTGTCTTGAGATGTCTGAAGATACTTTTGTTATACACTCAGTGGAAATGGGCAGTGAGCAATTGCCAAATGCCTTTTGTTATTATGTGTCTTCTCAGAACAGATACTGGGGACTGCACCTTTTCCTCACCTACCAGGCCCTCAGACAGATGGGCAATCACTGTTTTGATCTGTTTTAAACTCCTCCAAATTTACACTTACTATTTCCAGAAGAGTGAGGCATCTACAGTTACAGTATCTTCAAGTAACAACGTAACAGTCTGAGAGCAGCTTCCCACCCTTCACTCCTCTCCCAGGTCTCCAGAGTCCTCATTGGTGCCTCTCTACCTTCCGTGTCAGCAGTCCCCCCCTCCCGTCCCCCCCCCCCCCCGTCCCCCCTCCCCATCTGGTGGCCCAGGGTGGCTCACAGTGGTAACATGCCTGCGACTTCCTGTGGCTTTCTACCGTAATGAACAACCCTCCTCTCTCACTTCATTCTCTGCACTTTGCGTCTGTGGGCAGCTGAGACCCAGGGAAATTTTGTTACTCGCCATAGGGAAGTGAAAAGGGGAACTGGGCCTTTCTCCCTCTGGGGGCCGTGTAGAGCCTCTGGTCTTGCTGAGATCACAACATCTTCTATCTAAGTCTGGATCGTGTTTCTACATGTCTCTTCTGATCTTGGGGAGAAAAGTCTGCCAATTGAACTAAAGTAGACCCAGCATGGCCTTTAAAAGGCTGCGTGTGACATTTATAATACTAACAGCATGAGCAATACTATAAGTAGATAAGAAATAGCACTAACACAGATGAGTGTGTTTTTTACAAACCAGCCACAGCAACCCCAAATGTTTCCTGGTCTCCTGAGCAGCTGTGGGCAGAGGCGGTTGAATGGGATTCCTTGCATCCAGGAGCCTCCACGGGAGGCCTGTAAAGATGAGTCATGTATGAGCTTGCACAAAAGTCAGTTCCCAGATTCTCCTGGACTGCAGATTGCCTCCAGCGCCAGGCTGCTCTTACCTCAGTGCGGCTGAGGGTGCTGCCTGTTGCCATAACAGGATGGCACGGTGGCAAAGGGAGAGGACTGGCAGTGGGGCTGCCCACGCCCAGGGGCCTCCAGCCAGCTGCGGGACCAGTGTTCCTCCCGCTTACCTTGCCCGGAAGGCTGTTTCACAAGTAAACGGACAGCCCCACAGTTTGTGAACCTAGGATAGACCTGGCACCGGTAGGCCCGTCCCCTTCGTTTCTGGTCACGTATTTTAG